GGGACAAATGTTATAACTCACCCTGTATATGTGTGGGTGAGTGTGTTTGTGTGTGTATCATGCATTATCAATAATTCAAATACTTTAAAAACAAATAGAAAAAAAATTTCTAGGTGCTGTCCAGTAAAAATAAACGGAATAAGTAGAATTTAATCCGAAAATACTGGTAAATATTGTGTGTGTGGGGGGGGGGGTGCGCGTGCGTGTGTGTGTGTGTGTGTGCGTGCGTGTGTCGCGTGTGCGTATGTATAAACTAAACTATGTACTACTTAATTATAATTCCATTACAATTGTTTGTATTAGATATTTGTTAAAATGTTTATTTAAATGGAAATAAACGATACAGTTTTATATTCTGAACTTAACGATAACAATACTTATGATTACCTAACGAACATGTTAGGTAATCATAAGTATTGTTATCAATATTTAACATATCATTGAATCCCCCTAGCAAAAATCTTAGTTATTCATCTGTTACATCATCATCAGCTTTTTCACTGTTGTCATCGAATATATCATTATTACTTAATGAAAAAGAATCATTAAAAACATCATTTTCAAGTTGTGGAGTAGTTTTTGATGACGATGTTGATGACATAATGATAATATCCTCGGGATCTCTTTCTTGTTGTAGCATTATATTGCCCTGTGCATCCATTTCTTCTGATCCTTGTGAAGTTTTCATTTTATCTTCTTTAATTTCACTGGAATCATTTACATCATATTTTGTTGAATGTTTGCTGCGTTCTTTATTGCTTATGTTTCTATCGTTTTCTTGTTTACGGCGTTTCTTTGACGTTTCATTAGGTAATTTAACACTTTCATTGTTCCGCGCAGGCCTTTTTAATTCCGAAATCTTCTTTCCGATAAAATAATCAAATTTATGTAACTCTGATAAGTAATTCTTCTTCTGATCTTTATTTGGTTTATAGACATTCTTCATCCAGTAAATATAAAAATCTGTAATAATTATATTTTTAATTTATGAAATGGATGTGTGTGTGTGTGCATGTGCGTGCGTGTGTGTGTGTGTGTGCATGTGCGTGCCTGTGTGTGTGTGTGTGTGTGTGTGTGTGTGTGTGTGTGTGTGCCATAGACATAATATATATAGACTGCGCGTTCCCTACTTCATTCGCGTGAAAACATGCGCCAACTTTAGAAAGAGATAGCTGGTGTGGGACCGTATCTTTATCTTTGTCGAAATGAAGTAGTGGGGGTAAACAAAAGAGTAGAGGAACGATAGATAGACAGAGAAAGAGCTACTACGTAAGCATGTTGTCTCTTTCTCAGGTGTGCAAACGTCTGCAGCCACAATGCGCAGTCTATATATACTATGTCTATGGTATGTGCGCGTGCGCATGCGTGTACGTGTAGTGGGTGTGATCCTGCTTGATTAGATTTACTTAAACAAGCAATTATGGGAGCTTTCGTAGAAATAAAATATTGTAAACGGCCAGTTTTTGAGGATTTTAAAAGTTGTCAGTTCCTTAGCAGTACGCCGCCGAGAAACCATGCTTAAAGTGAAGTACCCTATCTGACCAGTTTTTTAGCATTGTTGTAAAACATACGTATGCGCAGATTAGTGTTATTTAATTACTTGCATCATGCATGAATCAGCTGTTCTTTCAATATTAAAATTAAGTTCAGGAGTATCTAGCATTTGAATACCAATTTAATTGACTCTAATTGAATATGTTTCACAGGGGGAGAGCATTGCACGTGATCTTACCTTCGCATGCACCGTATTTGATCTCATCTAATTTTGGACACGGTTTTTTCCCTCCTTTTTTATTACTTTCAAAGCCTGTTCTTGTACTGACCAATAATATTTCTTCTAAAAAGACTGCTGTCAATATATTACTAGCACACTGACGTGGAGTGCTACAATTTTTTAGTATACTATTGTATGATTTATCATCTATCCATTGGTCTCTACCAATGTAACCTAAAATAAGAATATTGTTCGTCATAACACTTTTTAAAGTAATTTTGTATAATAAAGGGAAAGCATTATGAGTATCATACAAAAAATTAGCTCACTCTTGGACAATTATCGGTGGTACGCAGTGATCCAATCGGTGGAAAATTATCTTGGTATGATATTTGTGCTGTTGTACTTTTTACTCATTTTTCTATCATAACTGTAAATAAATTGTAGCATACATAAATAATTAGAAAAAAAGTAAAGTAAAGTGTGCA